CCCTTTTCACGCGCGCAAGGCGCGTCGCAAGAGACGATGTGAGCCACGAGCGAAGATGTCAACACCACTTGCACCCACATGACAGAAGCATCTCAGCTCGTAACGCGCCGTGCTCTCCGCCCCAACGTTTCACTTTGATAACTCAGTCGCCTTCGTGCGTAGTGAAGTTGTGGTCGATCATGTCGATTTATTATCGCGGTTTTTGACCCGTTACGAGAGCCGACTAAAAGATGCTACGCGCGAAAGACGCGAGATCATCCCGCCAAAGGAAGCTCGACACGAGTTCCGAAAGCCTTCATGATTTGCCCACGAGAGCTAGCCAACACTTGGCTGTGCCTTACCCACGACCGCAACCATGTGGACCGGTTCGCAGAACACTCGTGCTGAAGCCGTTCGATCGTTCGAAGGCGCGAATGCCATCGATCATACACTCAAGGAGCGAGGGACGCGTTGGATTCGAAGAAACACTGAGATGTCCTCGCGGGAAAGTGCGAAAGTCGTCCTTGTTGGTGAGGTCGAGCGTGATGCGCACGCGCGTCTTTCCATCTCTGAACAACGAACCCTGCCGCCCCAGGCCTGCCAATGATAGCGTTTCGCCCGTGACTCACTTAGAACCGACAACGAGAAGCTCATGCACATGATCGTTGAAGTTGCGCGAGTCCAAAGCGAAGAGCCGACTCCCAAAACAGCCCAGTATGTCTCTTGTAAGGTATCCCAGTTGATGCAGCTGATCCGCTACTCCTCTAGCAAGCAGAAGAAGATACTACACCGATTTTCGTATGAGTCGTCAAAGTTAATGTGGCCGGTGTGCTCTTCTCAAAGAAGCAGAGACGACCTTCCACTCGGCGTCGGGTTTGGCGAACAGGGTGATGCGAGACGAAGTAGTCGTGCATGCTGGCCTTGCTCTTCTGGCCTCACCGATCAGGGGACTGTGCTTTCGATTTGGACTGAAGCAGGCTACTCGTTCAGTACGCGTTGCTTCGACATGTTATAGTTGATCTCCTTGGGAAGCTTGAGACGCGTCTACGCTGGCCGACTTCGCGTCTTCGTGATTGTATGACCCGGTGCGCTCCAGGACCACACGTCGGCGCGGGTATCCTCGCCCTCGTTGAGTCACCACGCCGCACCGTTCACCTCCATGTTCAGTGTGCCAGCCAATCGTCCCGAGTCGTAAGACGGTCAACGCGCGACAAAGTTTGTGTGAGGGGTGTTGGCTGTGCCTTCGATCGGCGCTGTCGGAGGAGTCATGGGCGCTGGTGTTTTTGGTGTGCGGGAGCTCTGCGGTTGATGCGAAAGTCGTATGGCTTTCGTGAAGCCGTTCGGGAGCGTGTGCGATTGGTGGTGAGGCCTAGGCTGGATCGTCAGCAAGATGGACTCGAGATGGGTCGGTGGCCGTACACGGATACTTGTACAAGTAGTGCTGCCAAGCGGCATCGTTGGAGCGACCAGACCAGTGCGACGTATTGTGTTGTGCGGGTTTGACAGCCCGAGTCATACGGATTGGCGCGCATTCAAGAAGGCCATGGGAGGCGAGCTCAGTCAAAGATGGCAGGACGCGTGCCGAGGTGGTCATGGAAGAAGGGGATGCTGCACCCCGCGTTCATCATTGGCAAGGGAGGGATTCATGGCGGTGCATGACTTGCTGCCCGACTGGGCTGCTGCGACCAATTTGCAGAAGCCTTTGGCAGTCGATGTTCGTATTAGCGCAGCCCCATGGCCGCCAGATGGTTTTAGCAGACCCTCTAGAATTGGAGAAGTGCAAGAGATTTGCTATGCCGTGGCGCTCGCATGTGGGCATGGGGAGTTCTCCCAGATAGTGCATTATTGGATGCGACGAATTATCGGACAGGGCGTATTGCTGTAGGGGCGGTTAAGCGTTGGAGACTGTCGTCGTCGTCGTCGTCGTCGTCGTCGGCGAGGGGGTATAAGGTCACGGAGAGCCTGGCGAGTACGAAGCGCGCCTACAGGAGAAAGGGTGAGATGTGGCGGATGTCACTAAGACGTATGGACTCACGAGAGAAAAGGCATGGCTATCGCTCTCGAAGCCCGTGTGAATGATGGATGATCACGTGTGAATGATGGATGATCAAGGCCATGCCGCTCTAGGAGTAGCGTGCACCTCGCATCACGGCTTGCCCCGCATCCGCCGCGCAACCCCAACACCAGCACTTCCACCACCACCACCACCACCACCACCAGCCGCGCGGAGAAAGCGCCAACTACCCCGCGACATCACGACGACCCTCATATTTCAATACCTCACTACACCGCCGCCTGTTTCATATCGCCGCCTCGCATACCTCCGCCTCGCATGCTGTAGCTGAATCGAGAGGCGCATTGCATCGCCCATGCAGCCCGCCGCAGCTGTCACCACACGGCCCCAACCTCGAAAACACCATGCATATACACCTGGCACATTCACCCATCGGCAGCAATTGAGCCTTCGGCCGTCATGAGCAGATGAGGAGGTGCGACCACACCCGGGGCTAGCAGGGCAGCTGGAGCGCTTGTGCCGGTATACGCGACCCTTCTCGGACAAGTGGCTGTTTGAATGCTGTAAGGCTGTGCCCGTGTGAGATTTCTATCGCGTCGGGACGAGAGCGGTACATGCAGTGCTTGCGCTGATAGCCACAGCCGCCACTGGTTTGCGAACCGCGTATGAGTGACGCCATCTTATGTAGCTATATCGTACACGTATCGAGCGCAATGTACCTGAACAGCGACCGCGCGCCAAATGTGCCCACCGGCGAAGACGATCTCAACTGCTGCCATTCTCGGTGAACCCAGCACGAGGCCGACATCAGGCTTCAGACACACACCGACAACTCCAACTTCTCCGAGGAACAACACGACTGCTGGCGTCGTTATAAACTGATATGCACAAAGCTAGCTGCGAACAGGCTGAGCGCTGACCGTTCTCTCCATGGACAACCTCGCATGCGCACCGACTGGGCAAACTGTTAGCCTGACCACAGGCCAGTGTCTTCACGTGTCCCTAATCGGGGCTACGAAAAGCGAAAAGTAGGACTATAACTAGTTGAAATTTGACTGTGGCCCTTTTACAGCTCAAGCTGCTTCTCAGCGATTCATGATGCGTGTGGCGGCATCAAGCGTCGACAACTAAGCGCCCTCCGATTCAACTTAGGAAAGAGAAACAGGAAAGGAAGATGGTGTAACGATGGTCGAGACCCTCTAATCTGTCTCTAAAGGCGCGGTAGGTTGCGCCGTCTCGACTAACAGGTGCCGTAGTGTCTGCCGTCGCACTATGGGTATCTCTCGACACACGCAAACATAGCCATCTTCTCCTTGTAGGCCTTACAAAGGGAGTACGTACGCTATATCTGCCTAAGGACTCTTTACTTCGCCTCAATATAAAAGCTTCGAGACGACCAATGCCATCCTAAGGTAGGTAGGCCGATGTCTTCCGAGGTTTAGAAAAGCATAAAGGCTTGTCAGCAGCCCCATACGTCATCTCTAGTACGTTGATTAGGGGCGCTAATTAAAAGGCTATTGGCACAGTACACTGGCAAGTGGAGGTAATGAGAAGGACGACCAGCCTGTCTCTTCCAGCCTAGCGCTTTCGACCGTGTGTTCACCTTGCCCTTAAGAAGCGCCTTCTTCCGGTTATAGACGCCCTTGTGGTATCAGGACGCGTTTGTGCCCAAGTCTTTGAAGGCCTTCACGATCCAATCGCACCGTCTGGGTTTGCCTCCATAGGAAACGGAGGGAGCCATTGTAGATTCGATACAGCAAGTAAGTCGTAGGATTGCTTAACCTTGCCCATTGCGCATGTCACGTAGCCAAACCGATCCAGTCTCTCACCCCCTAGGGCAGAGGTTGTGTTGTGCCATCACACCACGTGCGGGTAGCCGCATATTCAGGGGCCGATAACCTGGAGCCGACAAGTGCTTCAACGCTTACTGAACTTACCATGCTACTCTCACGCATCCTTCTGGATTTGGATCCACGGCCGCTCTCTTGTGCCGACCATCTCATGATGCAGTACACGGAAAGCTCAGGGTGACGAGCTAGCAACATGAGGTTTACTGGCTAAAAATGGGAACATTTCCAATGCCAGAATCTTGCGTGGGGCTTCCAGAGACCGTTCGAGTGATGAGCCTTGCCTCTAGATCTAGCACGAATTCAGTTGAGCATCTGAACGCCATTCCCGTCCCCGTCATACTGTGAGCTTTCTGTCCTAACTTTACCATGTGCTTTTCTTTCATCCATAGGCATCAGGTTCTATCATGATGATACTTGGCTGTTTCGACCATCAATTTTTTCTCCATGCCTGACTTTCGGATTCTAGCTCAATGAGCTCGTCGCGCTTACATGGTCCTCGCCGTCTGCATTGTGTAGTCGATATTCGCCACCAAAAGGTTGCAGCGACTTGTGCGCAGAAACACGGTCGACTATTCAGTGTAGTGCATCTTGATTCAGGAGAGTTTCTTGGTATCAGCCATCCAGAACATGAGAGGGCGTATCTCATTTGGTCCATATTGCTCGACATCTTCCACGGCTTAGTCAAAAGAGCAGCACGGAACTTCTGTAAAAGCTTGCTTGAATAAGAGTCATGCTTTGCGCAAAGTGCTGAAGACAGTCTTGCGAGGACGGGTGAGGCGATAGATGCGGAAGTGCGGCTTGCTTCCGAGCGAACCAACAAGATGACGTTGGCTGGTACACCAACGGAAGAGGTATCAGGAGATCACATGCTACATTTGTACTTGAGTACCATTACGATCATTTTCCTGTTTCGTCGCAAGCTACATGTCTTCTGATCGAGAAAGCAAAAACGCCAACGCCAACGCCAATGAGCACCTAACGCCGTCTCTGCCGTCGAATTCGTTCCCATTCGCAATTTGTATACCTTTCAAACCCCTCACCCCTTCCAGCTTAGGTACTACCCGAACTCGCGCATGGCATGTCAACCTCTCATCCAATCTAGCTCGTACTGCAGGCTTCTGGACAAACAACCCACCAACGTGGTGGGTAGAAGGTTACTAGTCCCACGTCCACCCGTTCCTTGATGTGCACACATGGTGGCGGATGTCGCACACGGGAAGATGCCTCCGCTGAGGGTCATGGTTGAGGTCAGAGCGCGACATGACGGCTTCATCGTCGCCAGATCCAGGCCCAAGTTCAGACTCGGTGCTGTCGGTACCGAGGGACTGATTTACGGATGGGCCGTGATGGTCATGAGGGGTAAGTGGGCCATTGGTCGGGGACGAGACCTCTTCTCCACAGTCGTTAACGTTCATTGATTCGAATTGCTGAAGAAGGCCGGTGTTGGATGGTGTAGGCACCGCGCTGGCATCGACTTGGTTTTGGACTGGTTGGGCGTCCATGTCGTCGGCGTAGATGAAGTCGTAATCAAGTGAAAGCGTTGAAGGCTCGTCCGTGTCGCCCTCGTACGCAGCCATCTCCGCATCACCAAGCTCGAGGATCCTGGCATTGTCTTCAAAATCTGACTGTATGAGCACGTGGTAGAGATTGTAGGTTTCATTGGTGGCCCCACCGTTTACTGCTTGAAGGTATTGGGTTTCGCCCTCGTAAAGAGTAACTTCCTCGTCATCCGAGGCGTGCATGCTGGCATTGTCGGCAACCTCTAGATCGGGTAACGGCTCCCGAATAAGGTCACTCAGATTGAGGGAGCCGATGCTGGCCCCGTCGTGGACAGTCTCTGTCTCCTGGTTTCCATGGATCAATCGGTCAAGGTGCTCCAGGGTCGCGGACAATTGATCCATGATGGCCTGCGGGCACGAAGCGCGCAGCTGTACCGCGATATCCTTCAGGTTCGTATGAATGATCTCGAGCGAGACCAAATCAAAGGTGGGGTACCGAGTGGTGCCATCCTGCACGAAATGCGAGCTGCTCGCCCGGGGGAAGTGTTCGATCAGGTCGTTGGTAACAGAACAGCCACCGGCCCAGTCGCCAGGAGCGACCCATGTGCCGGCATCGATGTTTTGTACAAGGCCCTCAAACCGCGGATGACAACCCCAAAGAGTGAAGGGCGGGCTTTGTTCGTCCTCGTCATGTGGTGGCATATGACACCGAGAACCACCTTCGTTGGACAACGTGAACAGCTCATAAAGCTGTTGCTGGCGATCTGTAAAACTACCCAGGATCACGAGGGCGCCGTGTTCTCCAGAATCCGTTGCTTCAGCAGCCTGGAGTATCGGGCGCTCGCCGTCCGGTCCAGATCCCCACAATGCTGAGTGATGACGTCGGTTGAGAAACCAGGGCTTCACCTTCCCCTTGTCCGTCACGAGATAGCTCCATCAAGACGGCTGCCGTCATTGACTGTCCCGAGATCCCGCGAGCAGAGGCCAAAATGCATAGGGGCTTACGAGAGCGTATCGAGGGTCCGGGCTTGGGTCGTTCGCGGTCAGCGCGGGGCCGCGCGGGCCAGCCGCTAAACTGTAAATCGGAGTCTTCAGAATGGGGTAGATGCTGCGCAGCGCTCGAACGCCAACACATGAGCATCGTAGCAAATACACCTTGCCGTCCAACATGTGGCGAACAGATCCCTCAGGCTCGAGCGCGAAAGACAGAGAACAAATCAGGCCTGGGGGGGTTCCGCACTGGTAGCCCACCCAGATGGACCCCGGAGGTTAGCTTGGCTCCTATTGGTTGACTTCACCCCACCCCTCAAGCTCCTTGATGGCAGACGACGGGCGCGCGCACACTCACAGCGTCCAAGGATGACCCGCTACCATGGTCAAGCACGAGCGTGTTCAGAACGCCCATGGCAGCGGCATCTCAGACACTCGAGTCGACGCAAGTCCGGGCTACAACCAAGCTGTGGTCAGCAGGCTTCGGCGCTGATGCAACCGCCAAGCGTCGACGCCGACCCGCGCAACATCGCAACGGCGGTCTATCGAGATTCAGGCCGCGCCAATGTGGAGAGTAGCAGACAATGGCGGGTCAGGAAGATCGGGGGCAGGGAAACGCTCGTCCGCAACCAGTACGTTGTTTCGAAAGATATGAGGCTGATCAGTCCGTACTACTGGTCTACGTCAGTACTTTTGATCCGCGAAACATCGACCTTGGCGATGAGAGTGAAGATGAGCTTCTACACCACACCAATATCTCGGGAGACGAAGATTCCATCACCTTCCACATGGTAACGCGTGAGGCAGAGACAGGTGCGAACGGACAGGGAAGTTGCAGGCGACGAGCCCAGTGGCGCCAACGGTCGAATGGCGAATATCGTGACGTGGAAGCGTTCCAAGGTTCTGACAGGCACTAGGCCGGCAACGAAGCACCTTCACAACGAGCGGTCGTATGTTTTACCCGATGAGTCTAGTGGTTTGAGCATCTTTATCTACGAGCATTCGCGCACTGATCCGAATGCATTCCGTCACACCATGCAAGCAAGCTTCTTCTTTGCATGACACCACCTATTGCAGCCCCGAGCATGAACACGTTCTCCAGAACACCAGCACGGACAAAATCTGTTCTGATCCTCTTTCCGTTTCTCGTCATTGCCCTGCTTCACAAACTTCTCCGAACGGTCAAAGTCTTTCTGCGACGGGATTTCACATGTCTTTGCACAAGCGCAAGATAGAACTTTGCGGTCCTTTAGCTGCTTGATGAGGTTTGCGATGCTTTCCAGGTCGCTAGAAGAGTACACCAGATGTTGTAATCGACGTGCGTATTCCGCGCTCGTATTTGCTGGTGTCCCCTCCTGAACATGACGATACAGCGCATCCAGATAATTGCAGAATTGCCGAAGTATGTCTTCATTTGTGGCCATTGGCGACTGGATGATGTAATTGATGTTCTTGATAGTTCTGCCGATGTCGGCTGCTGACCAAATCATGCCTCCTCGTGCAATAGAGTCGTCCAATGTAAGGACGCAGTGTACTACCGGATGACCAGGTCTCATGATGAGGGTGTCGCCGGGGCGGAGAAGAATAATTTCAACATGTTCAGCAGCTGGTCTCCACTGTGCCCCCGAGGTTTCTAGTTCCTTCTGTTCCTTCTTGGTACATGGTCCAGTATATATGAACCAGGCACGGAAGCCGGTGATGGTTGTCAACCATGTTCCATTTAGTACATCCAGGTGCCACCCAGAGAATGAAAACCGCTCTCCATACAACACGAACTGAAGGCAGGCCTGGCAGTCGATTGTTCGCGTCTTTGTCTCTTTGCCTCCGGCTGATCCAAACTGAGATTGTTCGTCGAGATGAACCTGAACCTTGAGATCATTGAGCAAGCTGTATCCAAGGTCCCGAAGAAAGTCTGGCCCTGGTACGACGTGCTCCAGAGCTGCTCCGGAGATGCTCAAAAAGTTTCTAAACTCGTCGGAGGTCGCGCGCTTCTCCTTTGACATGCGATCTTCGTATCGCTTGCAAAAGTCTTGAGCGGTCATCTCTGGGGTACTACCGCCAAGAATCTGCCAATTCTGGTACATCAAACTCACTTCGCGGTGCTGTGCGAAGCGAAGGAAAGCTGCTTCAGCATCTTGGAAACGTTCAAAGGTATTGGAGATCCGCAAAGTCGGTGTATGCGCGTTCAGAGCACGACCTTGTTTGAGGAAAGTACCGAGTTCTTGAGCAGAGGTGGAAACCCAATGGTTGCGAGAGAGGTTCGAGGCGCTATCTAGGGAAGCCGGTTTCTCGCCGATGTCATGTGGCTGATCTGATGGAAAGCTTTGTGAAGCTGGAAATACTGCTCGCAGCATATCGATCCCAGTCTTCCAATGAGCGAGATTCTCGCCTTCGCGATCGGTGTAAGGGCCGCACAGTAGTTGTCGGAGCACACCTTGGAGAAACTGGCGGTCATAAGAGATGGACTCTGGGACGCTGGACTCGGCAGACCTTCGCTCAGGTAGAGGTGTGTCGTTGGGATCGCAGGAACACGTGTTGTGTTCGGTCTCGTCTTCGCCGACGGATGCTCCATGTAGCTGCTTTCCCTTACAGTTTGCGCGATTGCTGTCACGTACAACCCGCCGCTTTGCCCGCATTCACATCACACGCCGCTGCGTGCTTATATGCCAACACGAGTATCCCTACATGCCCGTCCGTATCCCCGCAGCCAGCTCTCGATTGCCGCACCCGACAAAGACTACATGATACCTCCGCTTCAAGCACTGCGACGCACAGTATGCCCTCATCACGACCACGATATGAGCACGACCATGTCATGCCCCATCTTTGTGCATATCACGGGAGCCGTGGCAGGATGGGTGCAAAGCCTGTAGGTGAAGCAGAGTCTGGGCAGCCCATCAGACATCTGGAGAGAGTTCGTGACGCTTGGAAAGCGGGGCGTCTGGCTTGACAGGTGTGCTCTCGTTCCGGACAGCGCTCTCAAACGACGTCGGCTGGATGCGCAAGTAACGATGGGGCGCGCGGTAAGCTCTTCATCCCGTCGCAGGACTGTTTGTTCAAAGCCAACCACCACGTCCTAGTGCTGCTTAATGCAGCAAAACCCTTTATTTTTTACGGTTCAAGTATGCTAGCAAGGCAAAGTCGACTCTGTTCATATGGAGGCACGGAGGAGATGTCTACGGTTTGCGTGTCGACACGCTGTCGCTGACCGCGACACAGGGTCTTCGATACATGTCGTGTAACATCTATCGTGTATGATGCTGGCATTTGCAGTCGCTTTTGTACGCGCACTGGAGAGCTCACCAACCGCTGATGGCGATGACTAAGACTCTAGTACCTTCTCAGTCCCTATCAGTGAAGCATTCGTGAATTCGTGGCGTCATGACTCTTTGATCCGACCAGCTCCTTCCTCCGATTGGCGTCGCCTTCCATCGAGCCAATCTTGTGATACTGTCGCGTCTTCTGTCGTGCAAGCGCAGAACTCGATTCAGGTTCTTGTCGTTGCTCCAATACTCCCCTGGAACGTAGGCTCTCTGTGGAATTTCTCCCTCTAGCTCAAGATCTCCTTCAGTCTATGCATCTACTTCTTTGTCACCAATTATAAAAACTTGTCTATGAGTAGAGCGTAAACAATATGATGGCGTTGATCAACATTGTCTCCACTGCCGTTACCGATAAGCATGTGACAGCTCAGCCTTCACATCTTGGTAACGGGGCAAAGATCGTGCCAGGCTCACATCTAAATGTCATGAGCAATTTATCGTTGAAGAGGAGACTTGTTCGTAGAAGTCGGTGTCGCAATGACTCCCGCAACACACACGAGATACACGATGACTGAATCCGCCGTTTAAATAATGGAAGGGATGAGAAAGAGGTCTTCACTTGATGCGCACGTCATGGACTGCGTTGTGGAAGTCACCCATCGTATGTGGACACCGCGATATCATATGAAAGTTAAACTTCTGTGACAATCCCGTCATGGTATCAGGTACCTCATGATCCGCGAGTCGCGCCTTTTGAGCTCAAGTCGAACTCTGGGTATCGTGTAACAGAAAGAAGCGTGTACCAGGCCGCCTTGATGACGAGCCAGTAGGGTTATAAGCGTGATTATCACCCACGCGCGAGAGGCTGTACGCCCGACCCAGAGGGTCCAACCACCCTTCAGCTCTTTCTGATCTCGCCTATCTGTATGTTGCCAGGACCATCGCGCCTCCGCTTCTTGAGAGGGGGTAAGCCACGTGCAGGGGCCGGTGAAGTGGCAATCGTGGCGCTGGGGCTGCCATGCTCGCTGAGGTTCTCATCGACATGGCTGAGGATATCAGAATCGCCCTGGTCCTTGTTGTTCCCATCGGTGCCGACATCCTTAGAATCAGAAGTGTTGGAATCACTATCCGCATCGCTCAGTTCCGAGGATTCATACTCCAGCCTCCTTTCAGAACGCATCTTGTCGCTATACTCGTCTACGATGCGTGAACAATTTTCTGCGTCCGAGAAGATGTCGTGAAGCTCTTGGTGCGTAAAGTCCAGCTGTAGAGTATGAAGATCGACTGTATCTGGCTGCGCAGAATCGGCTACAAAGTCGGCTACAGAGAACGGGATTTTGGCGTTTGGCGAGATGACACCATTAGCATCTCGGAACTTGACACGAGTGCCGGCGTCTATAACCGCCAGGTTCTTGTCCTTGACACGAAGACGAAACACTTGGTAGGTGGCCCAGTGAGGCTGTTCGCGCAACACGCGTTGTTGCTCAGGCGTACGATGTTCAAACTCAATCCCGACGAATGTCTTGGTATTGCCTGCAACTCGGTGTTTGATGTCAGTGTATATCCCACACGTAGTTTACAAGCGATGTCACTTACCCTTCCTGCGAGCTATATAATCATGCGCTGCTCGTCTGAGATCCATGTGACCATGCGAAATCTCAACGACGAATCCTGGAAAATTCTTGAGTGCGTAGTTGAAAGAGATACAAGGCGTGCGAAGGGACTGACGGCCAATATGTGTTTGACACCGGCCGAAAAAGTTGATATCGTTGAGGATCGAGCATGTGAGCGTTCTATGATCTGGATCAAGTATGCTTACACCCAGTTCCACGTCTTTCTTCACACCGTCCAATTTCTCACACAGCCGGGAACCAAGGTTTCCCTTGGCCAACTCGTAAAGCGCGTAACCGCGCATTTTGATGGTAAGAGATCTTGTGCGGTCATCGTAGTTGTAGTAGACTTTGTCGCCTGCCCAACCAGCAGTGTGCCGGTTTAGATTCTCGCTCTCCACACATGGTTCGAACAGCTCATTCTCCAGTGAAGGCCAGTCTCGACGTCGAACTGCGACGGCGAACTTATGATCCCCATACTTGACCGATTCTTTGCCGTCGTGAAGTCCCTGGATGAAGTCGTAAATCTCATGGTATCTCGGTTTGGGCAAGAGGTGTGGCACCGGTAGCGTCGGGGTGTGTGAGGAGGGTTGATCGAGGGGCCGGTTGGATGCAGAGGAAGGTAACAGCTGCTCGCTGCTCGCCATAGACCTTGTCACGCGCATGGCGGAGAGTGTCGCGGATTCAAGGTTCAGTTCGCAATCGCAGATTGTGTAGTCGGTGGCTTGGGAATAGCAGCACTCCTAGTTCCGGTGCTAGGCAACAGCGCCGCGCCCTGTCGGTGGGCTAGCGCGCCCGCGAGGCCCTCTAGGGCTAACCCCGGTTGACGGGCAGCGAATGTAATGTGTGAGCCTCAGGAAGCCATTTGGAGGCAAGTGAGATTGATCAGAAGCCAGTTCACACAGTCACGGAGAAAACTACAGCGACGCAAAGGAGAGAAATGAAGAGTAGTGAGATGTATGTAGAAGAGGATGGGAGGTTTCAGCACGTTCGAGAGCTCTAGGGCTGTTCTTGCAGCTGCACCAGCTGCAAAAGATTGTGGCACGGCGCGGATCCATGCAATTGACGGCTTCGAGCCCGTAGCATTACAGATTCGAGTTGCAGGAGGCAACAGGTGAGCTCCTAGATCCTTCAACGTTCGGCTGGACTTGTGTTATCATCGCGCCATATAGTGGGGCCGCCACTGTCGCAATGAGCCTGAGCTGCCGCCATGCGACGACAAGCTGTGGATGTGGAGGGATGAGCCCGACCATGGTGCAATAAGCTGTCGGCTACCCCAGAGAGAAAATAGCCCGTTCCACGACCATGTTGCTAGCTAGCCTTTGCGCGAAGAAAACCACGACGCTCGGTCGCTAGAGCTCTACGAAGGCCTTCTGCCGCGTTATCGGCTACAAAGCCTGGCGCTGCTCGAGTTATGATGATGTAATCCACCTAGCTACCGCCGGATCCGGTGTGAAGTGGAACACACGATCTGGTGTTGCCGTAGAAGTTTGGGTCCAAGCAGGCTCGTGCTCATAGTTCGCGGATCGGTGAGATTGGTCGAGGCGAGTGGCGAAGTGACATGTCGTACTTGGTTCCACGCATAGACTCACAAGAGAAAGCGAGATCGCGTTCCGCTAGCCGGTGCTTGCTAGTACTTCGCAAAGACTTTTCAGGGTATCCTCATAGCCCTGCTGTCATCTGTGACCGCCAACGAGCTGGAACGACGCGCCTGGACACGGGGCCGTTGTAGTGCGACAACCGTATTCAAGAGCTGGCATAGGGTCCACTCGGACCGGGGCCGCTGGAATCTCGGCAAGGCCTTCCTGCTGCTCATGCCAGTCGAGGTTGTGACCAGATATTCACCACGGCGCGACTCGCTCATGATGTGTCTGGAGTGTGGGCGATAAGGAGACGTGCGTTGAATGGTGAAGCGATGAGGTGGGGGTATCGCGAAGTGGTGCTGGAGACGGAGTGGTGCTCAAGGCTGGAGAGGTCAGCATCCCATTCGAGAGCCTTCGTGGTGAGACGTACCCCGGGCCGCTTGATGCCTCTGGCGATGTTCTCGCGCACCTATCGAGCTGCAATGTCCAGGGCGACCGTGTTGCTGAAGGAGTCGCTCACTCTCGAGGCTCAGATGCAGGTCATTCGTGTCTTTCAGAATCCAACACTATGATTGCTGCGGCACAGGTGCTGGCTATGCGTTAATCGCGAGACCGGTGTTTGGTTGCTTCACCTGTGACAGTCCCCCTAGATCGCGTCCACGCAATGGCAGGGTCTAGACGCGTAAAAGGTATGGCCCCGGGCTCCTCCCTCTCCATGTTCCCGTGTTCCCCCGTTGGGCTGGCGGCGGCGAATGTGTTTCGTGCGCGAGTCGGCGTCCCGGGGATGTGCGGAAAGGAGGGCGGTGTTATGTACATGGTCGCGACCGACACATGCTGCTGATACGGTCGCGAGTTTGAGCTTGAGCTGTCGCATGTGTCGTCGGACTGTTTGCAGGAGCACACAGTAGCCCCGACACCCTTGTGGCTGGCCAGTCGGGCAGAGCAACAGCGTCAGATCCATGCCTCCTCACCGGTAATGTCCGCTAGCAATGCTGCCCTGTTCCATGATGTGCTTCGACCCTGGGCGCGTGAAGAGCGATAGCAACAATGAAGGCTGCTCCGTTGGTGGGGGCGATGCGCCGGAAAGCCTTCAAGCCGCCGACATTGTGCGTGTTTGTCTGGTTCATTGGGACTCGTTGTGAATGGCTTGGTGAGAGTGGCAGAGTCAGTGTACATCAGGCCGCGTTCTGAGTACACAGTCATCCGCTACCGTGAGGCTTTAGTCAAGACCTGTAGCTGAGCGACCGATCGAGTAGCTCCACGCCAAAGGCTCGTGGCCAACTGGGCGTCATCAACTCCATGTTGCGATGGATGAAGGCCAATATACCGGAAAGAGTGGTCGGGCGACCCGAAGTTATCGCAGTGGACCGCCATGCCGTAGCAGCGGATGTCTGACGGGCTACGAGAGCGACCGTGTGTCTGAGCCGTCCATCTCGTCGCAGACACGAATGTGCACCGTCGGGTGTTCTCGATGTTGTCAATGACGCGAAGTGGCGTGGTCTTTCGCGAGGGGTAGCGTGGACTCTAGGACATGCCGTGCGCTGGTGGGCATGCTTGGGGTCTTCGGAGCGACGCGCCCTCTGAATAGGACGGGAATGACGCTAGGTATATCAAGGGAAACAAGCCTGTGTGCTGTGAGACTAAAGAGGAAGTAGCGTTGTGTCTTGCGATGCGCCGGGGTGATTCAAGCTACCGGAGCGCGTCGTTGCCCGCCCAGGTCTGAAGCGTCCCTTCCGGAGGCATACAAACCATTGAAGTGGCTCCCGCTTCGGCCCATAACGGCAGACGCGACGGCGTGTCGGACCCAAGCGAGCTGGCCACGTCTTTCACTAATAGCGAAGCGTGGTGCATGTCCCGGTTTATACAAGCATGTCCACTTCGGACGAGATATGGCGCCTGCGACGCGTTGATCAGCGGCTGCCGTCGCCCGTAGTTGATGGAATGGTGGTCGTGACGTGCGTGGTGGAAGGGCTAGCCGATGATCGTCGCGTCTGATGGTTCATCGCGCAAGCCGGACAAGACGAGCAGCGCGATTTCTGCAGAAGATGTGGAGGGTGACGTTGGTGGTGATGCGTCGTGATCTAATGTTGGTGGTGTCGTCGCGGAGGACCGAGGGGCACCCAAGGAGCGCGACCTCGGGAGTGCCTGCATTAGCGTACCCCGCAATGAGCGCGACGTACAGTGTGCGTGGGCCGTCTAACATTGAGAGCTCCGCGTGTGATTTAGCGGCTCGGTCAATGTGGTGTTGCGTTCCCGATTACTCACGGCCTATGACGTAGCCTGGATCGCCATACTCTCGCAATCGCACCGATGAGGCTATGCCTTCACTTTTCTGCCAGTCTGCTCATGGTGGCGGAGAGGATCCGTAAGTGAAACCAGCGATCCCGGTGATGGATACAGAAGCCTCGCCTACTATGCCAGACGTGTACAAACCGACGCCAGAGTCGAGACTCTTCGATGAAGGGATCAGCCTTGCCGATTCGCAATCAGAAGCCATGGACTTCGTAGAACGCAATACGAGAAGGTACAATATTGACGTTGCACACCTGGACAAGGAACCGCAACGCGAATTAGCAAGGACGACTCTGTCGTCATGCCGTACAGAGAGCGACTGGCTTGCCGAGTTGGCCGGAAGCGTCGCAGGCCATGCTACATGAGGACGTTTTCACTGTTCCAGACAACTACGCTGTGCTTACTGCATCGTAATCACAAGGTCGCTATCGGCGCAAGCATTGGTGTTGATGAATGGGCTGGACCGCAGTCTGAGTCAAAGGCGCACTCTATTCTTTCTGGTGTTGATGAGCAATATTGTCGTGCACACGGTGCCCCGCGCCACGACGCTAGATGTCCGCGCCACGACGCTAGATGTCCGCGCCAAGACGCTAGGTGGAACGGAGAGTAGCGCATCATGATCTCGACCTCGGGAACACGAAACCTTCCCCGGGCAGAAACATGGGGGAACCGTTCACATTGCGAGACCACATGCTGCCATGGCCTGAGAAGCGGCCTCATGCTGCGCAGAGCGTTAACAACGTAGCGAGATGCGGATGTGCAGTGTTCAGAAGACGTTGGCACTCGATGTTGGTTGCAGCGCAGCCGGACGGCCTCCAGAGAGCTCCCCGGGGCCGTAGCACGGATCCTGAAGAAGGAAGGAAGGAGCGACCATGCCATCATGTCATCAACCCACCTTCCAATCTGAAGGACGACAACATCGTGACAATCGATAGCGCCGTCTAGTCCTACGAAATGTATTACAACATCCGGAGCTGGTGCTACGGGCCCAAAACAACAGCCGTCGACATCCATAACAGGATCTTTCACGCCAAAGAGCCAGTATCGATGGGTATCCGCTCCACAAACAAGGCAACTCCGCCCCTTTGACACTAGTAGTATGACAAAGACGAGGCCTTCTGCGTTCTTCGAGTCAACCAGACCTTGTTTGCGTGGAGGATACACACGAGTATCGATGGGTCAATACCAGTTGGGAGTCCTTTGGTATAGCTTGCTTTTCGAGCAAGCATTGACAGTTTGAGGGCACTGCATGGTGCCGGACTACAAATGGGAGTATGGCGGTGGCTGCAGGAAAGTCTCATCTTAAGCAACACTGTGTGATGGCAATGTTTATTGAACAGAAACGTAGTAGCAACGCATGTTATAGGAGTCTATTATCTACCTGCTCTTAACAATGCATAGTTATCTACTCGGCGACTAGTGAGCTAGCAGTTACGACCTCCTGTTTGTATCTTGTTACGAGCTGCTATTTGAAATAGCATTAAACTAACGTCTACTGCGCTTCTGAAGTTCTTCTCTATAATATCAGTTTGGCGTTTGTAGGTACGCCAAAGGGCTGTTTGAGCAGAAGCGTAGTGGGCGGCCGTGGCCATGTTCACTACACGAGGCTGATTTGTGCATCACCCTCTGGAACGAAGAGTCGTATACCGTCCATCAGCCATGTATCTTCTAAAATCGTGCTCCATACCATGACGTTCGTTTTATGCGGTTAAGTCTTACTCCAGGTCTCGGAGGTCCTGTTTCTGGATACTAGCAGAATTTATCGGCATGGAGACGTATTCCAGGAGGCT